TTGATTTTCAGTAATTTGTGCTCATAAATCACATGTATATGAAAATCTGGCATGTTTTTTTAAAAATTACCCTAACTGCAGTCTTCCCCAAGCTGTTTGTAGTTTAAGAATATTGGAATATTTGTCAAGGATGGTACTTTTAGCAATGAATCCAGATGTGTAGGTAATAAAGTATAATTGCAGAAATGATTCTGAGCAGCTGTTTAAGGATGAGGTGATTATGTCCAGACTTTGTGAGGAACTTAAAGCTTTTGCCAGCCTATGAAGCTACAGTGTTTTCTTATTTAATATCTGTCCAGAACTTGAATAAAAGATATGCCTGGTTTAAAGCAAAACAAAAAATTAACCATGGAATGTAAGGGCTTTCTTTTTGTGAAAAGGTTTGAAGGAAAGAACTTGTAACCAGTTCAGTTACAACTTAAATTGAGTTAAACTGCTTGGTGTAGAAGGGTCCAGCAGCCTTTCTTCAAACAGTGAATGGGAAGCAGCTTTACATTCTTGTGAATCATATCTCTGTAGTCATTTCGTTCCCATTGTCCGACTGCTCTGTACCTGATCATGCTGTGGTCACAGAGAGCAAGATTGTTCCTGTGGAGAAGAGGCATAACACATTAGCTGTTGAAGTAAGCCTTTGTCTAGTATTGAGTGATCTTCTCATAACTTGCTAAGGGCATTCTTTAAAAGAGATTTTTATTTAAAGCAAAGCGTTTAGGATTAAATAATTTTAAAAGAAAAAGTCAGTCTACATGATATCCTGTTTTTCCCTAGGGTTTACTATTTCCTGGTCCTGCAAGTAGCAGCCTTCCACAGAGCTTTTGTCTGCCAGCCTGTCTGGTTGGCTGCTGCTGGCACCCATGTTTTGTTGCTTTTATTAGGGAGCAAAAGTGCATCCCTCTCAAGAGTTCTTGCCCAAGCTCTCCATTAAGCCAAAGCTGGGTAAGGTTGCTGCTGGTTTAGATTCATTTAGGCACTAACAGATGCCAAAAGTATCTGACAAACTCATCAAGGACTTTTCTCTGCCACAACTGCACCTGAATGTCCTTATTTAAACATACAGTGAGAAGCCAAATGCCTCAGTCCTGGGCAAGAATGAAGTCCACTTGGTTGTGGATAGTCCTAACAGCCATTTATGCAGTGCTGTAGAGTACCTACATGAAGTTGTCTTTTCAGCTGTTTAGTCTCAAAGGTAACTAGCAAATGAAATAACGGCTCATCTCTGCTTCTCAAAACCCCATGGAGGGGTAAAAGCACACAAATGTAGTACATGTTCATTGGAATTACATTGCTGGAGTCTTTTTTTTTTCCTAACAACTGTTTCATAAGTACTTAAAATTCATCAGGAGCTGTAACTTTCCTTAGTTTTCCTGCTTATATGCACATTTGGTTCCTGGAGACCAAAACATGCTTCACACCCTACAATTTGTTCAGCTTTCATGGATTTGTTTCAGTGTCCGGATGGCCCTGGCACATTGTACCACCTGAGCAGGGTGTGTCCCATTGCAGAACATGGTACAGGCGGTCTCAGAGTAGCTTTTCATTTCTCTTTGCTGCCTCAGTGCTCCACCAAATGCTGTGCTGCCATGTGAGCGAGCACGGGATGCGTTCTCACTATTCTATCTGTTGCTGACTGAAGTTTGCCTCCTTGCTGCTTCACCCTATCAGTAATTATCAGCTTCCTTAAAGACTATTAAAGGCTTCGGTCTCCAAAGCTCTTAATCTGGACATGCTCAGAGGCAGAACTCGTGTCTATCCGTAATCCTCACAGATACACTTCACCGTCTAAAAACAGCATCATCCCAGGCTGAGCTTTGGGTTAACCTCTGAGAAATTGGTCTGAACCAAAGTATCACCCAAGAAAGAGTGAGGACTGTGAAGGGGACAGTCTGGGGTGGAAAGCTTGATGTCATCTCCTTGGTGATCCTGAGTGTGCATGCAGGCTTCTCATCAGAGCCCTGCCTGTGACGTCCAGGGCTCTCCTGCCCTACCAGTGTCGCAGGATTTAAGGACATTTGGTATTTGACTGGATCAGGTCCTGAGCAGGAAGGTCTTCCATACATGTATAAATTCAGGGAGATCATTCTTGTGAAGGTAGAAAACGCACAATGCTGTACAAATGTGAAGTTTTATTGTGATTTTGAGTGTTTCTAGAAATAAATGAAAACAAATCACTTTTTTATTGTGGAAATGGAAAGTAGCACAGTTAATGGTTGGATGCAAAAACCACACACAGAAAGGTTAAAAGCCAAACCACTCTGTATGTAAATGTATTTAATGAGTACAGTTGCTAATTGCAAACACTGGCTGTATACAACATATCCTGTATTTATAGAATACATCTATATACACATTTATATAAGACTGAAAAGGCACTAGAGTTTCCCATATAAAACACAAGTAAATTAACAATGTAAATCCAAATGTGGAGGCTGGGGAATCTGTCTAGGGAGAGGTGCTGGAAAGGAAACTTTGAAAATCAACATGGGAAGTTGGAAACCAGTCTGCTTCTGAAAACCAGGGAATTCAAAAGTCCAGATCCCATTTGTATCTTCAAAATCTCCCTAAATTTACTGGTCAGATGCCAAATAATGTATGTAGTATGAGATTAACGAGTCTATAAAGGAATGTACAGTACTGCAGCAAACTACATAGCATTAAGCTTCTTAGGAAGCTGGAGAGCTTACTATAAAATCTGGTACTCCTGTTCATGCTGTTCTTAAATTGTAGAAATAAATGGATTCTTACAACACTGAGAATCTAAATACATTCCTCTGCAAGTAGTGCCCAAGAGATCTTGGAACTATTTGTGGGAGAAGCTGCCATTGGATAAGGAACAAAGTACAGTGGCCAAACCTGGTGGCCAGCCTTTCATCTGCTTTTGTCAGAGTGACCTTTGACTGAAATGTTTATGGTTTAAGAAAATAGGTATATTCTTAATCTCTTGGAAGAAGCCTACTGGAGAATAATATAGTATGAAGGAAACAAAGCTAAAATAGTATGTGTATGTGGAAAAAAAGCTAGGTAGAAAAGAGGAGCGAAACTTCTTATGGGTGTGTCTTTTAACAATTTTTAGCTTTTGTGATTTCATTGCCTCACCTATGGAGTGTAGGCTGTAAGGGCAAGTGAGCCTGGGTAGTTTTGCAAGGTCATGATTTTAACAGTTGTAAGAAATGCTGAGTATGTTTACATGACATTTATTTACATAGGAAATGAAATCGACAACCAGCAGTGTTCAAACAACTGCAATGTCTGTGTCACGAGCCTGATGGTTGAGCGGCAGATCAGTCAGTCTGGGGCAGATTTCACGCAAGAATATTCACTTTCCTTCTGAAGACACAACTGCTTTGGCCTAATTCTCAGAGCAGCTCCACCTGTAAAAGACAACAGCATCTGCTGCGCAGGGAATAATGAATTTCCTGGTGTGCAGAACTGTGCATATGTAAAGTCCTGTTAATCAAAACCTGTGGTTGGCTTTGTGGATGTGGGTGTATAACACAAGGCGGCAGCCCGACTGGATGACCACACTTTCTGAGACACCTTTGGTGCTCCTGTTATTGTAAAGGGCCCTGACTCCATTCAACCGACTCTTGACTTCCTGCAACAATTTATTACTTCTGCATTACAGATTTTGCTTTTCCCATATGGAGTATTTATGCTGACTGGTTGCTCTGCAGAAACTGAGGGAGAGTTGGGACTTAAGTCAATATTGAGTGCCCCCAGCTCCAGCTGTGTCTCCTTGCTCCTGCCCTGCGGGTGCTGAGCCTGCTCCAAGGACACGGTGGGTTGCAGAGTGCCGGGGGGATGGATGTAGCGTGAAAGCGGAGTCGATTGGTTATACCTGGGTCCGCAGTGGAGCTGCTGTCTCATGGTAGAAGCTACTTTTCACTTCATTCCAAAGTTTTTGGCATGGTATCTTTAGTAACTCAAATATTAAGTCCTTGATACTTCTTTTGTCAGCTGTTGAGTACCTTTCTATTATGCTTTTACTAAAAACAGATGAAGTAGGCTTTTCCTGGAAGCGAGTACAATTACTGGTAGCTTTACAGGCTGCAACAGGTTCTCAGGCTGTACAGACCAGTATTGCTCAGACCATCACAGAGAAAAAAGGCTTCTCCTGGAGTAGTTTTATTCTTTTTGTAGACACCTGATTGTCTTCACTGGATCATTTTGTATAGAAACCTGTTTCCTCTCCCAGGAAACTCAAGAGCAAAACTCCCACTGACCCAAATGAGCAGATCCAAGGAGAGCTCCTGTGTTTCCCAGAGGATTTGGTTAGCATTGCAGGAAGTCTGGCTTTTGTTAATTCCTTAGTAAATGTACATTGCAAGTCATATTTTAAAAAGATAGTCAAAACAGCTTGGAAAGTTTTCTTTGTTTTAAATATGATCAAGGCAAAGCACAAGTCTGAAAGTATTCCTGGGTGGACCTGTGAGTGCGGTACTGCTAGGGCAGCATGCATTAAACAGTGAAAGCAAGCTATAGCCATCCATAAACTCACCGAATCGTTTCCCAGTACTGGATATTTTGTGTTTGTAATGACAATTTCTGACCTCATCCTGCAAACACGCAAGTATTTGCATATTCTTGTGTTTATTGATATTGAAGGTGACAAGTCTGCTGAGTTGAGAGATGTATGCGTGCACTCAGGTACCTAGGGAATTCGGATTTCAGGGGCACAAAATGGAGGATGCACCATATATAAGCAACTGGCAATGATAGTCACTTGTTAAAATAGTTTACAGTGGCCTGTGAGGCACAAGAAGGAACATAGCACAGCTTTAAATAAGTATAAAATTTTAGATTGTATATCCTATATTTTGCTGAAACGTGAAACTTGCACAATTATTTATGCCACAGATGAGTTGCATCTAATAAAAAAATTAAGTGCTGAAAAAAAATCAATCTTCCAGTTAAAACAATTCTCCATTTTCTTTCTGTTAGCCTATGAGACTGTACTTTCATTTAATGTCATGATGCTCTGTGACTACAGAAGTTACATATATTTATGAAAAAATGGACCAGTATATCAAATTAAATAGAATGTATGCACCAGGGAATATTATCCTGGAGTACTTGTCAATGGCATGAGTGTCGATCCGCATGCTGACGTATCTCTGGTTTTTCCTCCTGCCCGAGCCCCTTTCAGACCCCAGCGCCAGCTGCACCATCATTCGGTCTTGTTTGTCTCCATTCTCGGACACATAGTGCCCCAGTTCGTGCACATCCCCATCGTTGTAGCTGCCGTCCATCATCATGGGCCGAGGCTGAGGTAGGCTGCACGCACAGGGAAGCTGTGGACACAGGTAAGTGCGGGATGCTTTTGAGTTGTCTCCAGACATACACAGACGTCCCTTTTCTCCTTGCAAAAGCAAAGGAGGGGACAAGCCTGGGGAATTCAGGCTGCTGGGACACAAAAGGGAGAATGAGAGGATGGAGCTGGGCAGCAGCTTTTGCTTCTCTAGTTTCATGTCTGCAAGACACCAACACAGTCAGGGAAAG